GACGTTGTTTAGAGTTCACCCAAACGACTTCACCAGAGCGACGTCGTAACGACGTCGTTTCGAGTTCACCAAAACGACTTCACCAGAGCGACGTCGTAACGACGTCGTTTCGAGTTCACCCAAACGACTTCACCAGGGCGACGTCGTAACGGCTTCACCAAAGCGACGTCGTAACGACGTCGTTTCGAGTTCACCAAAACGACTTCGCCAGAGCGACGTCGTAACGACGTCGTCTTCGCCCTGTGGCAAATTGGGATGTTTATTTATAAACGTATGTGTTCCTTTTCTTTCGTACGTGTTTATTTATATATCTGTACTGTAGTGTTTTCGGACGGTACTAGCTCTTACTGCCAATATAGGAGTATTACATATATGACTAGCGGCGATGACGATACAACTTATTGACTTATTAGAAGGCCGACCAATTTATACACTAACTGGCCATAATGACAAAGTGTGCGCCGTCGCTTTCTCACCAGATGGTAGACATTTTGCTTCTGCGGGCCAGGATCGACAGGTAATTTCTGCTTTGTGTGTGAAAAAATTATATAATATACATTTTTTCTCTATATTCAACAGTTGCTCGTTTGGAAATCTAACTTGCATACATTTGATGTCAATAGCTTTCCCAACAAACAAGTCAGTTCTCAAAGAGTCCAAATTGATTTTAGGCATTCAACAGCTCCACATAACTCCGCCATAGACACACCAGTTGCTGGAGCACCATTTTGCGAGACTATCAATATGAGTTAACTGACATTGTGGTACACACATTGCTACATTCTAATGGTATAAATTCGACGATGTTGAGGTGAGCGAAAATGCACATTACAGCTTGTTCAGCATGTACCTGGGCTTGGGTACAAAGGAAAAGCAGCAGTCGTTGAAGGTGTGTTAATTATAGCATTTTATTCATAATTGGCTTTTAGTAAAATAAAAATATATTTTCTTCCATAATTTTTCAGCTGAATGTGCCCTTTATATTTGTGCAATTGTTTTAGATGGATACACTGATCCATCAATAAAATACCAGTATCCCAAACTAAGCAAATTGCGTCAGGTCATTTCGCATTTAACACTTTGCAGAGATAATTCTGACAAGTGCCAGAATTCAAATCAAAATGCGCAACCTTCCGAATCCACACAGAGATCCAAATATAAGGTGTGAGGAGTTAATACCATTATTGTTAGTGAAACGCTGTGATAGTAATTTTTCTTAAATTTCCATCCTTTTTTTCTTTTCACTCATCTGCAGTTACATTAAAAAGTTAATAGAGGACAAAGCTGTTGGTGAGGAAGGTGTCGAGCTACTGCAGTACTGCAGCTGGGAAAATCCACATTTCGCACGTGCCCCACTAACCGAAACATGAGAAAATTAGATTATGATATAACGACGACGAAAAGTGGTACCAGTAATAGATTATGAATGCTCCGTTTTGTATGTAAAATTTGAGTATGTAAAGAAATTTGTGTTCGTATGGAATAGTAGCTTATGTCAAAAGGCTGGCTTTAGTATAATGCGGCATTCGCAGCATACCCTTGCGAATAACTCACTGGCGCCGAACCGTTGAAGAAATTTTGGCAAATAAACGTGCAAGAAATAGTTCCGATACTAGCAAGTCAATATTCTTGGTAAGTGTCATCGTAAAATTCCTTGTGTTGTAAATAATAAAGGGAATGCCGGATTATACTAAAGCCAGCTTCCCGACATAAGCTACTATTCTATACGAACACAGAAATATAAATTTATGTATCTAAAACTGAATGACTCAAATCAAATTGGATTGCATTTGCATAATATATCTAATATTGGAATCTGTTTTGATCGTAAAAAATACAACTTGCAATCATTTAGATTAAAGTTTTGAAAGAAATTGATTGCAATCGTAAATTGTGCCAAAATTGTTAATAGCAATCTGCCTTAAACTTATGTTCCCCATGTAACGGTTATAAAATACGTTAAATCCGCACTATCTGCATTAACAAAAATATAAATTGGAATATTTAAAATAAAACGATTCATATTTATTTTCTAATAAGAATTGTTTATTTATTGAATGTATTTAATACTAATATAATGTAGTGGGTAATGTTTAAAAATGAATTCGCAATATGTCCGCAGCTTAGGTTGATTTGAAGAAATCCGTTTGAATTTTTCGAATTACATCTACTTGAATATAGGATAGGCAGAGTTGGCTACAAATGGTAGTTCCGTAAATATTTAAAATATGTTAGTTCATTCAATATTTACATCTGGGCCAATAAATAATAACAAATAATATAATAAGCCACAATAACATTGACATAACAAATATAGCCGAAAAACAAAGTTTCGAGTAAACCGAGTTTTTATAACCCCCATAAAATTCCGATTAATTTTAAATACGAAAATAACGATATTTTTTCATGTACCTTGTTTATACCTACACAAGAACCGCATTAACAAAAAACCGATTGGACTCAACATATATTTCTTTACAGCATGTATACCCCTGTCTTTATAGTGCACTCGATAAAGTCGTATTCAAAAGTAAACAAAATCTGCTATTTTTATACGACATTTTTATAATAAATAATTTGCGCGGGCTGTATAAAGAAACCAGCCTATTTTCACTTCACGTCAAATGAGTGATGCGTTTATACTTGTTTTCTAACTGATGTGAGAAACAAAAAACCGATTTGAAAACAAATTAAAGTCAATACACTTTTCAATTTCAACTCGTTTTGAATTAGTTTATGCATCCTTTTTGAATCACAGCGAACTGGGTCAAAGCGCTTTATGTGTCGGTATAGACAAGGTAATAGAGCCTTTTGATTCTTAACAACATACATTAGATATTTTATTTAACAAAAAGTAACTATACATTAAATTATTGTTTTATAAAAATATATTTTTTCAATTTAATTTTAATTTAGACAGTGGAACTATCTTCATTTTAAAAATGCTATCACATATTTTTGAAGATTTCAAAAAATACTGCAAAATACAACAATGAGCCTTAGAAATAATAAATAAGCAATTGCTTTTTCTTAAAACTTCAGACCTTTTACTCGATTTGTTCAAACAAATTTAAATAAAAGGTCTGAAATTTTAAGAAGAGGCAATCGCTTGTTATACCAGAGCGCACTTGTGTACAAAGTTATAACAATTTTGTCCACATAACGGTTGTTTGTAACAGGCAAAACGAATCGAGATAGATATAGACAAATGTATACATAAATGATCAGAATGAAAAGAGAAATCGATTAAGCGGTGACTGTCTGTCCGACCGTCCGTCTGTGCACACTGTAACTCGAGTCAAAATTGAGATATCTTAACGAAACTTGGTACGTGCACTTCTTTCGGGGGATGGACGGTATTGAAAATGGGCAAAATCGGACAATAACCACGCCCACATCCCACATAACGGTAATTTAGAGAAATACGAAATATTCGATAAATCAGTATATATTAAAGCTAATTTATTCAAAATTGATGCAACAATTCTTTACCAAGAAATACGTTTATGATAAAATTTTGGAAAAAAGGCGTGGCACCGCCCACTTATGATCACATATACATATGTATCTCTGTAACCGTTCTACCAATTTATACCAAACTCGGTACGGTTATTGTGCTTGCCACATAAAAGCAAAACGTTAAAAATTATTAAAATCGGACTAAAATTACGGCTTTTCATATAACGGTAAATGTCAGAAATGCTTGAAACTTCAATATTTCGAAATATAAGGACGCTAATTTACTCAAAATTGATACTGCCCGGCTTACCATGTAGCGGTAGCTTTCGGAAAGGTGAAAAACATATATTCAATCATACACCCACCCTGTCGGAAACAACAACAACCAAAATGGAAATATATTTAATACTTGCGCCGGGTATTTAATGTTCGGCTCCGCCCGAACTTAGACTTTCTTACTTGTTTTTGAATTATTTTATATACTTATTTTCTGTCTCAAAATGGCTTCTCGGCCATGCGGTGGAGTAAATTGAACAACGAAAAAGAAAAATATTTGAATAGAAATTTGTTTAAGAAACCGATTTAGTTTAAAAAAAAGGAGATTGAACATTAATCATGACGATAATGCTTCATTAGACGCCAGGCCAATAACCTAAATCAGCAAACAAACATTCGTTTGCGGATGCGGAAAACGTCGTTCCAATTGTACGTTTGTCTGCAATTTCTTTTACTAATTATTGAATTAAATTAATTTAGTTTATTTCTACTTTCCGAAAATTTCCAATGGTGCTGATAGCTGCAAGGATTATTTAGCGATTTGGAGCATAATCAACACAATATACGCCAAGGGTGGGCAAGGCCGAGGCCGAAAAGATCCGCACGTAACTTCTTAATGCTACAAAGAGCCACACAAAAAAAGCAAAAACAAAAATTTAATTTTTAAATAAAATTATTATTAGAAATGAAAAACATTCATTTTATTAATATTATTTATAGATATTAAAGAAAATTCAAAAGATCCCTTTGGCCAAATTTTCAAAATCTGGTTTTTCGTCAGTTAAAGCCGTTCGTAACAGTTCTGTTAAATGTTGGTTGGTCAATAGGTACGTTCGTTTGAATCTCCAGTAAAAAATGTCCATCGACAAAATTCCGGCGATATATCATCTCTCCTCTAACAAGAGAAAAATATCCAAAATAGTAGGCGAACAGAAAATTTGCAGAAACTTGCAAGTTAGACGAACAGCAACACAAATTTTGTATACATAAAAAAAAGCATAAAATTGAAAACGTAAGAAACAAAATCCCGAAGTCTTATCCTGACACAGTTCACTGACTAAACGAATAATTACTTACTTCCTACAAGTTTAATCAGTCGCATTTTACTATTTTAACTTCCAAACCTTCAAATTCAATTTAGGGATTTGCGTAAATACCAACCAGCTGTTTTTGATCAGCTGTTTTCTTGTTGGCAATTTGCAGTTGGTAAAAATTTTTTCCAGCAGAAACTAGCAGCTTTCCCTCAAAATCAAGTGTCATTTTGCTCTCTCAATTTCCCCTACTTTGCAAGTTGTTTGCGTATGCGAACACAAAAAGCTGATAGTTTTTACAACTTTCAATAATTATCAGGTATGCGAATGCAACTAATTGGGAACGGTATTTTGACTTTACGACTGTCATTGTAGAGTACAAAAACTCACAGTTAAACGTTGTACCAAAAATTGAAAATACACGGAACGCAGCTGTTTTCAACAGCGGATATTTTAAATCTGGTACTTCTTGCCGGAATTCAAACAATAGCATAGCTTTATGTGGCATTTCCAGTGCCTCAACTTCTTTTAATTCCAAAAACTCCAACTCTTCTTCACTTTTCTTAAAAAGGAGTATTGTAAATTCATCCTCAATTATTTTACATAAAAAAGGGTTTATGAAGTATGCAAACGTACATTTAAATAATTTCAAATTGGACAATTTTGTTTCAATATCTGCTTTTAAATCATGTGTAATATTTGTTCTAGCCATGATGAAATATTATTTTTTTGAGATCATAAATAAAAAGACTTAGTTTAGTTTCAAAACTTAAAATAATTTCCGACAAATCAAAAAGGTTTTTATTTTCTCCTTGTTGAGACAAATTCAAGTTTTGCAAATGTTCCATCATATCGGTAAAGAACATTAAGTCAGAAAGCTAATTTTCGTTCTCCAATTGCGGGTAATATTCCGATTTCAATTTGCGTATGTGTATATAAAAAGAATAAAATATAAAAAAAAAACAAACAACACAATGGAATAGAATGTCCAGCAAAGAAATATGTATTTTTTAAGTTAAAAGAGCCAAAATATTCTAAGCCAAGAGAAAGTAAAAAAAGCCGCACTTTTCTAAGCAAACAGCCGCATTTGGCTCAAAGAACCGCGATTGCCCACCTTTGATATATACAAATACATATGTATTATTTCACAGATCCAGGGTCAGCATAGAAATACGTCACCAAAATTATGTAAAATTTAAGTAGGAATTATTTTTATTTACAACGTAAAAGCGATATCTGACCCAATCTGATAAGTATATTTCCCCTAAAGTTAACCCATTTTATTTACTTTGTCTATCGTGCAAATATATATTTTATTTAAAATTTTCAGATATGTACCTACATTAGACTGCATCACCAAAAAAAGTTGCGGTTTTTCCGCCGGGGTTACAGAATCTATTATATCTTAAGACGTCCACCAAAATATTTCGGAAAAATATTTAAGCGAGCTGGACCGATTTGAAAATACCTCCAAAAATGGAGATTTTTATGAATAAAAATAGTTTCTAAAAGAACTTTTTGAAAAAAGTCCCCTCAGATTACAAAACAGATTAGGCTTAAAAAATCTGCATAAAAATATTTAAAAATCTTTTCAACAGAATCGTAATAATGAGATTTTCTATGCTGTTTTTTTACTTTTTTTCAAAGATTGATTTAAGAAAAACTGAAATAACTGGGCGAAAACTATTCTGATTTAGACTTATAGGATCTCGGTAGAAGGGTATTTTCCCACTACTTTTATTTATGTGCAAAAAAGTCATCGTGTCCCATTTTTTTTTTTTCAAATACCAAGTTTATTAGAAACTAGTAATTTTTAGCAAAAAAAAAACCGACTTCAACTCCCATATAAAAAATATATATATCTCATGATCCGCTGATCGGATCTTAACCAGATTAGTATGGGACCACCTCTGAGACACTATCTTATCGAAATCGGTTGACGTGGTCCAAAGTTATGCGGTAACATACATAAAAAAAAA